GGGGCGAGTCCACCATGTCGATGCTGCCAGTGGAAGACACGTTGCTGAGGTGCCGCGGGGACGTGTCCCCAGACACCACGGGCGACTTGTACACGATCTCCGCGCCGTGGTCCGTCTTGGCCTTGGCGTTCTCGCGGAAGGTCAGCTTGTGGGTCTCGATCTGCGGGGCGGGGCGGGATGCGGGAGGCAGTTGGGTGGGAGGCCTGGATGGGCGCTCCCCAGAGGCCTGCATGGACAGCCCGCGTGTGTGCAAGTGCGTGCGGGTGCAGGGCCAGGGGCGTGAACGGGCGAACGCGCACGGTAACATGAAGGCTTCACGCCGCAGCCTCGAATGCAACTTCACCGTGCCCCGTGCCGGTGAGCCCGTGCCTGATGGCTGCCTGGAATCCCAGGCCTCGGCGGCCTCCGCACCAGGGGAGGGCTGGCAGGCTGCCCCATGCTCTGGAGGCGCCATCAAGGCCGCATCTGAGCGGCGCAGGGCAATGGCACCAGGTCGTGCATGGGTGTGGACCCCGGAAGGGGAGCCACAGGGTCACCAGGGGTGTTGACGGCCATCACCGTGGCCAACGCCAGCTCAGGAGAGGCTGGGGACAGTGGAGGGTGTCCCCAGAGCACAGGCCCCACGGGACCTCCCCTTGTCTGTGAGACAGGGAGTGTGGAGGGGGTGTCTGTCCGACCGTCTAGACCGGGTCTCTCTCAAGATAGGCTCGATCGATCAATCTGATTTAACTAAAGATGAGGTCTCCCTCTTCTCGCGAAGCCTTCGTGTCCACCCAGGCTGGAGCGCAGTGACGTGATCACGGTTCACTGCAGCCTCGACCTCTTGGGCTCAGGTGATCCTCCCTCCTCAGCCTCCCGAGTAGCTGCAGAGATGGGGACCTGCTGTGTCGCCCAGTCTGACCTTGAACTCCCGGGCTCGAGCAGTCCTCCTGCCTCGGCCTCCCCAAATGCTGGGATGACAGGCGTGAGCCACCACGCCCTGCCTGAGGCCCTTTTCCAAGCAGAGAAACAACGGCACAGCCAGGAGGCCCAGGGGACACTGGGACACAGAAGCGTCACGGGGAGCAGTGAGGGCCGCGTGGCTGCCTCTCCTATGGGCCCTGCAGCGCTGGGCACCGGGATCAGCCTCCGTGGACACGTGCACACCGTGTTCTGCACATGCCGCGTGCAACTGCAGGAGCCTGGGACCCACGCGAAGACCCCCTGCGGCAGGGGCTGGAGCATGGGTGCACAGCAAGGCTGGGCTCCTGCTTGAGCTGTCGGCATGTCTGGCTCATTCTGCTTCGGCAAGAGGGTCCTTGCACGTTCCCAAAGTTGAAAGGCCGCGTGACATAAGCTTTAGTGAAAACGTTTACGTTGGCCGGGTGCCATGGCTCACGCCTGTCAGCCCAGCACCTTCTGAGGCAGAGGCAAGAGGACTGCCTGAGTCCAGGAGTTTGAGATCAGCCTGGGCAACTTGGCGAGTTTCTCGTCTCTACAATCAATCAAAAACCGAGCCAGGCCTGGTGGTGCACGCCTGTGGTTCCAGCTACTTGGAAGGCTGAGGTGGAAGGACTGTCTGAGCTCAGCAGGTCGAGGCTGTGGTGGCCGTGAGCATGCCACTGTATTCCAACCTGAGTGACAGTGAGACTCTGAATGA